CCTCACGAGTAGCTGGGATTAAGGTGCCCCCCACCATGCCGGTATTTTTGTTTTTTGTCTTAGTTGTCGAGATGAGTTTCGCTCTGTGCCCAGCTGGAGTGCATGGTGCAATCTCAGCTCGACCGCACCTCCTACTCCTGGGTTCAAGCATCTCTGGCCTTAGGCCTCTCCAATAGCTGGGGATTTACAGGCAGCGCGCATGCGCCACCACGCCTGGCTAATTTTGTATTTTTAGTAGAGAGGGGGTTTCTCCTTATTAGTCAGGTTGGTCTCGAACTCCTCACCTCAGGTGATCCTCCAGCCTCGGCCTCCCAAAGTGCTGGGATTCCAGGCGTGAGCCACCGCTCCCAGCCTGAATTTAAATACAGAGAAGATTGTATAGGTACAAGGGGTAGATTTCTTCAAGGGAGCTCAAGGGGAGTGTTTAAAAGAATGTCTTAAAGGTAAATGTTGTGTAGGAGGTAACTGATTGTTTTTCTTCGGTTTCTTTCATCCTAGTTATAAATCTGGAAATATATACGAAGGCCAGTGGGAAGACAACATGCGCCACGGGGAGGGGAGGATGAGGTGGCTGACCGCCAACGAAGAGTACACCGGGCCGTGGGAAAGGGGCCTCCAGGTACGCCCGGGCGAGGGAGCAGTTTATACCCAGAGGTGGACACTCCACCGATTCTCAACACATGTATTATGTCTTTTTGGGTTTTTTTTTTTTTTTTTTTTTTTTGAGACAGAGTCTCTCTCTCTGTCGCCCAGGCTGGAGTGCAGTGATGCAACCTCGGCTCACTGCAGCCTCTACCTCCCAGGTTCAAGCAGTTCTCCTGCCTCAGCCTCTGGATTAGCTGAGATTACAGGCACCCGCCACCATGACCTGGCTAATTGTTGTTTTTGTATTTTTAGTAGGGATGGGGTTTCACCATGTTGACCAGGTTGGATTCGAACTCCTGACCTCAAGTGATCTGCATGCCTCAGCCTCCTAAGGTGCTAGGATTACAGGCATGAGCCACCACACCCAGTCTGTTTGTTTGTTTTTAGAGACAGAGTCTTGCTCTGTTGCCCAGGCTGGAGTGCAGTAGCGTGATCTCAGTTCACTGCAGCCTCCACCTCTTGGGTTCAAGCAATTCTCCTGCCTCAGCCTCTGGAGTAGCTGAGATTACAGGCACCCACCACCAAGACCCGGCTAATTTGTGTTTTTTTTTTGTTTGTTTGTTTTTTTGTATTTTTAGTAGAGACGGGTTTTCACCATGTTGGCCAGGCTGGTCTCGAACTCCTTTGTATCTAAGCTGAGGGGCAGGTGTTATTTCTGTTTTACAGATGAGGAACTTACAGGGCTTAAATCATTTGCCTTAGTTTGAAAGACTGGCTAATAAGCAGCTGAGCTGAAACTGAACCCAAGTCTGTGCGGCTCCAGAGTCCAAGTTCTTTGCCCTTTCCAGTTTTCATTGCATTTATCCTAATTTTGAGGGGATTCGGGTAAAGAGAGAAACTGCTTTGCGCATGTCTCATGGCCGTCTGCTTTCTTTCCAGAATGGCTTTGGAACACACATGTGGTTTCTAAAGAGAATCCCCAGTTCCCAGTATCCCTTGAGAAATGAATACATAGGGGAGTCTGTAAACGGACTTCGTCATGGACGTGGCAAGTTTTATTACGCCAGTGGAGCCGTGTATGACGGAGAATGGGTTTCCAACAAGAAACATGGCACGGTGAGTACAGACCTGGGAAGATCGCATTTCAAACAATGATGGAAAGCCATTGAAATGATGTAAAGCCATTGACATGTCCCAGTATAATTGCAGATTTGTCTATTTCTGCTTTCAGTTCTGTCAATTTCACTTCATATATTTGAAGTTTGTTGTTCGGGGCGCACACGTGGAGGGTCATTATGCATTGGTGCTCTGGCTCTTTTGATCATCACATAATTTCCTATTAACCCTGCTAATTTTCTTTCTTTCTGAGACGCAGTCTTGCTCTGTTGCCCAGGCTGGAGTACAGTGGTGCGATCTCAGCTCACTACAACCTCTGCTTCCCGGGTTCAAGTGATTCTCCTTCCTCAGCCTCATGAGTAGCTGGGATTACAGGTGCAGGCCACCATGCCTGGCTAATTTTTGTATTTTTAGTAGAGACCGGGTTTCGTCTTGTTGGCCAGGCTGGCCTCGAACTCCTGGCCTCAAGTGATCTGCCCACCTCAGCCTCCCAGAGTGCTGGGATTACAGGTGTGAGCCACCACACCTGGCCAACCCTGGTAATTTTTATTTCTCTGAGGTCTATTTTGTCTGTGGTAAATAAAGGCACTCTAGATACCTTTTTAATTTTAATTGTGGTAAAGTACACATAAGATTTACCATCTTAATCATTTCTAAGTGCACAGTCCAGTGGCATGAAGTACATTCGCATTGTTGTGCAAGCATCACCATCCATCTACAGAACTCTTTTAGACAAAAGGCATGTCATTCTCTATTAAATTGCATTATCTATTTTATATAGGATAACTTACTGTTCTGCTAAGGTGATTACATGACTTTTTGTCTTTTTCTTTTTTTTTTTTTGAGACAGAGTTTCACTCTGTCACCCAGGCTGGAGTGCAGTGGCGTGATCTCGGCTCACTGCAACCTCCGCCTCCCGGTTCAAGTGATTCTTGTGCCTCAGCCACTAGAGTAGCTGGGATTACACGTGTACGCCACCACGCCCGGCTCTTTTTTTTTTTTTTAAAGTAGTTTCAGGGGTTTTGCCACGTTTGCCAAGCTGGTCTCCTGGTCTCAAGTGATCCTCCCGCCTTTGCCTCCCAAAGTGCTGGGATTACAGGCATGAGCCACTGTGCCCAGCAAAATATTTTCAGTGGTCACTGATTTCCTGTATATTTAGTGGTTATTTAATCAGTTTTTGGTGTGTGTGTGTGTGTGTGTGTGCGCGCGCGTAGGAGGGTGGTTTTAGTTTGCCAGTAACAGACAATCTACTGTTGTCTGCCATGTGTAATACAGAATACTGTAGGCTTCAAGGTTGGTTTAATTCAGCATCTCAGAGCTGTTGGGATTTCTCTTCCATCTATCCACGATACCTCCCACCATGTCACTTTCACCCTCGTGTTTTTCTTCCCTCCTGATTGCAAGTTGGCTACTGTGGTTCCAGCCTTCACATCCGCATACCATACTAACTAGAAGAAAAGGAGGAACTTTTGATAGAAGCTCTCTAAAAAGGTCTTTCATTTCACAGAGCCAAATGGGGTCATTTGCCCACTTCTGAATCAGTAACTGACTATTGGCCTGGGTTTGACAAATCTCAGGGAGTCTTGGCCAGGCATGGTGGCTCAGGCCTGTAATCCCAGCCCTTTGGGAGGCTGAAGTGGACGGATCAGTTGAGGTCAGGAGTTTGAGACCAGCCTGGCCAACATGATGAAACCCCATCTCTACTAAAACGACAAAAATTAGCTGGGTGTGGTGGTGCACGCACGTAATCCCAGCCACTCAGGAGGCTGAGGAAGGAGAATTGCTTGAACCCAGGAAGCGGAGGTTGCAGTGAGTCAAGATTGTGCTACTCACTCCAGCCTAAGTGACACCAAGGCTCCGTCTCAAAAAAAAAAAAAAAAATAGTGCCAAGCTATCTGAGTGGTTCTACTCATGATATTCTCTAGCACTTTGGGAAGCCAAAGGTGGTGGATCACAGAATGGTCACGGACATTTGCGTCACTATACCTGCTCCTGTGAATTCCCAGTTACTCTACTTCACACAATATCAAAATATTCATGCCTGGCACGTGGCTGGAGCGCTCATGTATCCTCAGTATCTGATGGAGGCTGCGGCAGGAGAATCATTTGCACTCTGCGGGAGGACAGAGGTGCAGTGAGGTTGTTGAAAGATCTCGGTCATCTGGCACTCCATCCTGGAGCTCACCAGCGTGATGACTGTCATCAAACAACACACAAACACAACAACAAAAACAAACAAAAACAACACGATCACTTGTGTGCTGAAATGGGGTATTCCTGCTGGTTAAACTAGCCTTGTTTGAAAAGACACATTCATGTGGCCTAAAAGTGCTAAAGTTGGGGAAAGATTGTGGGGAGATAGAGGGGAGGAGGAGAAACTAGGAGAAGGAGGAAGGGAGAAGAACTTTACCAGTGCGTGAGACCCAGGACTGACGTATGTGGAAGTAAGTCAGCATAATTTCCAACAACAAAATACTCCAAACCTTGCAAAAACTAATCAATGTAATATACTCATGTTTCTCTTTCTTATCTTTTTTTTTTATTTTGCAGACAGCAGTCTCAATCTGTTACCACCATGAACTGGCGTGCGTGGCACGCATCTCGACTCACTGGCAACCTCTGCCTCCCAGGTTCAAGCAATTCTCCTGCCTCAGCCTCCCAAGTAGCTAGGATGACAGGTGCCTGCCACCATGCCCGGCTAATTTTTGTATTTTTAATAGCGATGGGGTTTCACCATGTTGGCCAGTCTGATCTTGAACTCCTGACCTTGTGATCCGCCCGCCTCAGCCTCCCGAAGTGCTGGGATTACAGGTGTGAGCCACCGCACCCAGCCTACCTTCATCTGATTTTACAGCCGTTCCCCATCACTGGCATTACCTCCTGCAGATCAGCAGGGCGTTAAGATTCTCACAGGAGCGCAAATCCTCCTGTGAACTGGCACGCGAGGGATGGAGGTTCACGCTCCTTAGGAGAATCTAGTGCCTGATGATCTGGCACTGTCTCCCGTCACCCCTAGTTGTAGGAAAACAAGCTCAGGCTCCCACTGAGTCTATACGATGGTGAGTTGTAGAATTGTTTCATTATGTATTACAGTGTCATCGTAATCGAAATAAAGTGTGCAGTAATTCAAATGTGCTTGAATCATCCTGAAACCAACAGTCCCCCCACCCCTTCCCACCATTCATGGAAAAATTGTCTTCCATGAAATCGGTCCCTGGTGCCAAAAAGGCTGGGGACTGCTGGTTTAAAGGACAGTATCACAGTGTCACTTGGAAAGCAGTTGGAAATGCGGAGGGAGTGGTGAAGGCCCAGGTTGGGAGAAGAGTGTTCCAGAAATCAGCACGTGGTCTTGTTCCCCCCGTGATTACAATGTACTTGAAGAGACAGTCTTGTGACGTAACAGCAACAGTACGAGGTCACCTACAAAAGCAAGGCCACCCATGCATGGTCCCAGGGTGAAATCCAGTCTGCCCCGGTTCCCCTAAATCATGCTTTACTGGAACACAGACATGCCCATTTGCTCACATGTTTGTGGCTGCTTTACCCCAAAGCACCACTGCGGAGGGGTTGTGGTGTAGACTGTCTGGTCCACCAAGCCTAAAATACTTACTCTCCGGCCCTTTACAGAAAGTTTGCCTCCCTCTCTCCCTCCAGCCACCGATCTACAGTGAAAAAGCACTGACTTGTCCGGTCAGAAATGGGGAGACAGCCAGGCCTCGCGGCGCACACCTGTAATCCCAGCTCTTTGGAAGGCCGAGATGGATCACTTGAGTCCAGGAGTTTGAGACCAGCCTGGCCAATGTGGTGAAACTCCATCTCTACTAAAAACACAAAAATTAGCCAGGTGTGGTGGTTCATGCCTGTATTCCCAGCTACTTAGTGGGAGGCTGAGGCAGGAATAGAATCGCTTGAGCCTAGGAGGTGGAGGTTGCAGTGAGCCAAGATTTCCATCCTCGGTGACAGAGTGAGACTGTCTCAACAACCAAAAAAAAAAAAAAAAGGCTGGGCACAGTGGTTCACACCTGTAATCAGCCCTTTGGGAGGCTGAAGTGGGCAGATCATGAGGTCAGGAGTTCGAGACCATCTTGGCTAACACGGTGAAACCCCATCTCTACTAAAAATACAAAAAATTAGCTGGGTGTGGTGGTACATGCCTGTAGTCCCAGCTACTTGGGAGGCTGAGGCAGAAGAATTGCTTGAACTCGCGAGGCGAAGGTTGCAGTGAGCCGAGATCACGGGCAACAGAGTGAGACACTGTTCTCAAAAAAAAAAAAAAAGAAAAAGAAATGGGGAGAATCAGCACTGGCTTGGAAGAGTCTAGAAAAGGCCCTAAGTAGTCTTAGGATTGGTCTTGATTTCAAATAAGGAAGTTGAAGTGATAAATTTTAACAACTTTGGAAGTTTGACTTCTTTCAGCCGAATTCTGGGAGGCAGAGCTGCAAGCTTCAAATTATCCACTTGAAAAATAAAGTATTAGAAAAAAAATGCCCATTTACATCAAAGTTTAGTGTTTGAAACATACTTAAAATCCATTTAGAATTAGCATCATTCATCAGATTGTGTCTCAGACTACTCTGGAAAACATTGGGACAAGATGTCTCATCTTGTAAAGGAACCAGATTGACTTTTTTTTTTTTTAAGACGAAGTCTCGCTCTTTTGCCCAGGCTGGAGTGCAGTGACTCAATCTTGGCTCACTGCAAGTCCTGCCTCCTGGGTTCCAGCAATTCTCCTGCCTCAGTCTCCCGAGTAGCTGGGATTACAGGTGCGCACCACCACACCTGGCTAATTTTTTGTATTTTTGGTAGAGACAGGGTTTCACCATGTTGCCCAGGCTGGTCTCAAACTCCTGACCTCAGGCAATTTGCCTGCTTCAGCTTCCCAAAGTGCTGGGATTACAGGCGTGAGCCACTGTGCCTGGCTTTTACGGAGTTTTAAATTTTTAGTTGGTTGCTTATACATGTTCAGAGCATTTTGAAATAAGTACTCTTCTCATATTCATTTCTTCGAATTGTATACCAGGAGCAAATAATATGGAAGGTTCTAGCAAATATCAGACATCCTCTCCATTTTTCTTATTTTAGCCAGTAATGACATACCAGATGAAGAAATCCATTCTCCATTTGCAACAATACTTCTGAGAACATTTTTGAATTACCTCCTGCATTTGGCGTACCACATTTATCACGAAGAATTCCAGTAAGTACTATTTCTGGACCCCCGTTGGGGGACGGGGCATGGCTAGATTGTATTATTGTCATAATGCCCTCTTTTCTTCAGCAGTCATTTTTATTTTTTTGGAAACAGAGTCTTGCTCTGTTGCCCCGGCTGGAGTGCAGTGGCATAATCTTGACTCAGTGCAACCTCTGCCTCCCAGGTTCAAGCAAGGCTCCTGGGTAGCTGGGATGACAGGCATGTACCACCATGCCTGGCAATTTTGGCGGGGGAGGGGGGGGCGGGGGGGGTTCAAGCAGGCTCGCCCTGGGTAGGCTGGGATGACGCGCATGTACCCACCAGCTGGCATTTTTTGTCTGTTGTCTGATTGTTGTATTCTTTTATGTCGAGATGGGGTGTTTTCACCACGTGGCGCCACGGCTGGTTTCGAACTCCTGACCTCCGGCGTGATCCACCCTGCCTCACGCTCTCCAAGTGCTGGAACCTCCAGGCATCGCCGCACCGTGCCCGCCTCCGTCGTCTTTTTTTTTCTCTTTTTCTCTTTTCTAACCTTGAGCCCGTTGAAATGAAGGACTCAAGAACGACAGTCGTTTCTTATTCACCCAAAGCCATGAGATCAGGCTAAGCCTTCGCAAACTCTGGCACACCTTCATAATTGAATCTGTTCCATACTGCACCATCTCTCTCTTGGCCGGTGTTTTCAATGGCCGTAAACACATAATCACAACCAATTCTTTCTTATGGTCAAGAATTTTCATGTCTTTCTTTCCAGCAAAATGGTTTTATTCTTTTTAACCACAAATTTTAATTTATGTATTTATTTGTTTG